CAGCAAGGATATAATGGAAACACTAGTCTTAGACATGTTTGATGCAAGCAGAAGAATACAGTATACTATTCATAGTTGAATAACTATACAGTATCAAGCTCAAATAGTGCTATAATGCTTTGTTAGAGCTGCATTAGAGATATGCACAACTGTCTAGAGAGAAAAAAAAGTATTTTTTTAAGGACAGCCTAAAAAATGTGTTGACATTAAAGGCATCAGTGGCATGAAACAATGTGTGATAAGACAGTACTGCTGCCTTCAACTTCTCTGGCCAGTTACTACATAGAGACTGTAGTTGAAGAGCACGGTGAGGAAATAAAGAGAAAAATGGAGGAAAGAGCAGCATTTCATTAGAAGTGTTAACAGGGAATGGCAATGAGGTGCAGCATATGCATTAGTCCTCCCACTAGTCAGTAGATCAATGTGGGGCTCCCTGAGGATGGACTTCATAGAGATCAGACCATAACCCACCAAATCAATAAGTAGACTGGCCCACACCAGACTACAATGTCCTGAACAGTAATGCACTGAAAATGAACATTTGAAAGAATGAACCCACCAGTCATCCATTTAGAACACATGCTGGGCCCACATACACAGCAGTGAGTCACGGTTCTCACAGGGCAAAGAAAAAAATATATTAGATTAGCTATGTTAGTTAACCTACAGGTTTCACATACTGTATGCATTTCTAGTTGTTCACACTACAATATACTACCACTTTAACCTTTAGCCCTTTCTGAAAACAGATATTTTCAGTTTTCTACAAAAACATAGACTGAAAAACAAAGGTGAAACAACATGTTGACATGCATCAAATATGAACGTCAGTGACTGAATGAATTGTTTCACCTACACAAACACTGTGTGAATGTAATTCATAGTCTGTCATTGTGACTGCATTGTGACACACAAAATGTGGAATCAGTGAACTAGGCTTGGATGTACTTACCACTGTATAACTGACCTGTACAACAAGCCCTTCAAGCCAGAAAGTAAAACAGGTCATTTTTTTGTTGCACACAGTTAAATCAGCTCCGACTGTAGTGTCAACAACCATCTCTGACATCAGAGCCACACACTGTAACATGACACTCATGCCACCTTTACTTCTGACAGCCAAGAGTCATTATTCACATAACCACGTGAGGCCCCTGTACCATGTGTCCTTTTGCTCTGTAATCACCAGGCAGTTCTCACAATGCACTGATACACTCATAGGACAGCCTGTACTATTCTGTCCAGGCACTGTGATTTGGATATGAATGGGAAGGTGAATACTCCTGCTGAGAAGATCACCCACTCCAAAAGTGCCAATATGGTGTTGGACCTGTCTCCAGAAGCCCAGCATTACACCCGGGTGAGTACACACACACACATACTGGTTTCCATGTTGGATGGAGACCAACTTTCTGAGCATCACTTGTGGGGACCACCCTTTCTAAGGGCTCTGGATGCCTGAAAAAAATCTGGTATGCTAACCATAGTGTTGTTAGCTTATACACGACTTCAAACATCGAACTTGATGAAGTTATGATTTCACCATGCTTAATGGGGACTTATGAAAAGTCAAGTGAACATGGCTGATGGGGACCTCATTTACATATCATTTACATAATTCACACAAATTCCCAT